ACCGCGCGCTGCTCTGTGAGCGGAGGGTGGCAGACGGACCCGGGTCCTCACCCCAGACGCACCGCGGTAAGTCGGGGACGCCGCTGGGGCTGGGCGGGCGGGTCCTCCCCTCTGGACCGGCATCTGCGCGGGACGCCCCGGGCCCTCTCCGTCGCCAGTCTCGTGCCGGGCGCGCTCCTTCGGGCCTGCGTGAGGGGGCGGGGCCCGCGGCCCTGCGACTTGGCTCGGGAGGCCCTGGGAGGGAATTCACACGCGTGGGGCGTAGGCCAGGGGGTCTCGGGTGGCAGCCCATGCCGAGTGAACCTCGTTTTCTCCGGTGCTACTCATTCATTCGCCCGGCAGAGGTGAGGCAGGCCCTTGCGGGGATGGTGCCTTGGGTACTCAGTGAGGTTCCCCCATCATTTCCTTGACCACTCTACAGGACGCGTTTTGTCTAGGGTTAACCAGAGGATTGAGTGAGTCGGAAGTGCGTTAGCTTTTTACGACCATGCTTGCCCATTAGAGGTCTGGTCAGCCGATTGAAAGGTTCTTTTCTGTTTTGCCGCATGTTCCGTGTAAACCGAGGTCAGAAGGATTGGATTTCTGAGTTACTGCAGCCAAAAGATTTAAGCAATTATTTGTCAATCCCCAACTCTGTATCAGGTGAAGAGTTTTGTAGGTGGGAGGTAGAATAAGAGGACTCGGGAATGTCTGATGTCTTGACTCAAGTCTAGATATTTTTATACTATTCCACCCTCCCTGTATGTTCAGTCTCCCATTATTGGCTAGTCTCTATTTGGTAGGTAGGGGTAAGGACTTGAACATTTGGATATTTGACATAGTTTTCAAAGCATTTCCAGTTTTATTGTTACCATGTTTGCTTATAAATAATAAGATAATAGAACTTTATTAGTATACCTTGGTGTAGACTTTTACTTTTTTTTTTTGATACAAGATCTCACTTGTGGTTGTTCAGGAATTTATTATGTAGACCAGGCTTGCTACGAAATCAAAGATAGCTGCCTCTACCTCCCAGGTGCTGGGATTAAAGGCGTTTGCCATCACACCCAGCCCTAACAGACTTTTGAGAACTAAACTTAAAAAATAGTTAGGACAGACAGGCTCAGTGATGCACACTTTTCATCCCAGTGCTTGAGAGGCAAAGGCAGCTGGCTCTCTGTGAGTTCAAGTCTAGCCTGGTCTACATACTAAGTTCCAGGACAACCAGGACTGCATAATGAGACCCTGCCTCAAAAAAAAAACAACAAACAAAAACAACAAAAAAACCCCCACCAAACCCAAGTGTTGGGTTTGAGTCAAATCAATATAGATGTGGTGGTGCAAGCCTGTATTGTCATGGAAGTTGAGGGTGGAGAACAAGAGCCCAGGAGTTTGAGTCCAGCCTGGGCAACATAAAAGATCCATCTCAAATAAAAACAGGTGAGGGCTGGAGAGTGGGCTCAGTAGTGAAGAGCAGAGGACTGGTGTTCGATTCCCAGCATCTACATGACTGCTTACAACTTGGTAAACTTCAGTCTTGGGAACAAGCTCTTCTGGCCTTGGAGCACCAGGCACCCATGTGGTACACACACATACACACATTCAAAATACTCGTACACATAAAGTAATAAAAGAATTGAAATGAAAAATAAAAAAAAAATCAGGTTGGGCATATGGGAGGTACTGGGAACTACTTTGATAAATTACTTATGATACTTGTCAGTTTGATCAAGACATCTACAGCTTGTAGCTTTGATGTTTAAAAGCAAGTAATGCATAAGAGCAGAAGAGAACTGTGGTCTAAAGTTAAAGTTGTGACCTGGTGTCTTTTGTACCATTTTATCAGTTTGGATATCACGATCTGGGAAGCTCTTTCTGGCATGCTTTCCTTTGTAAGTTTTCACACTCTTACTTATCCTTCTGCCAGTAGCACACATTTTCTATTTTCCTGTTTGTCTTTTTATTCAATTATGATAATTTTTTTTTTTTTTTTTTTTTGTCTAGCTGGGTATGATGGTGAATGTCTTTAATTCCAGCACTCCAGAGGCAGAGACAGGTGGATCTCCGGGGTTTTGGTCAGCCTGGTCTGTACAGCAAGTTCCAAGCCAGTCAGGACTGCATAATGATACCCAGTCTCAAAAATAACTAACATGTTAATTTGTATTTAGCTTACATGACTCATACATAGACAGTCCACTAGTTATATTTCTGTGAATGAACAAATACAGAAAAGTTAAACTGAAAAATACTCCAGGAAAGAAGCTAGATATTTGTGTACTTCTGAAACACTTTGTATTTCGTTTGTAGCCACTAGCTCTTAGGTATCTAAGAATAACTAAACTTACAGAGTACTAAATTCACAGGTTGGGAAAATAAGTTGTGATTTATTGTAATATTACTTGTGTACTGTCAGTCTAGGACATAAAGTATTGTAATACTGATTAATTTCTAGTGAGAGACTATAAAATTCTGACGTTATTATAATCTGTAAATCATGAATGTGGTGGAGTGTCTTTAATCTCAGTACTATGGAGGCACAGGCTGGTGGATCTTTGAATTCAAGACCAGCCTGTTCTACAGAATAAGTTCCAGGACAACCGGAATTGTTACACAGAAAAACCCCAATCTCAAAGAACCAAAAATATATGCACATGTATACCTCTTATGTAAATCTTAGTAGAGGCTAGGTATTAAGTATTTTCTGAGGGTTTGATGTGTTGTGTTTGAAATTGACCTAATCATTCGGTATAATCTCACAGCAAGATAACTCAGCTACTGCAGCTAATAGTCTTTTTTTCTTTAGTTTTTCAAGACAGGGCTTCTCTTTATAGCCTTGGTTGGCCTGGAACTCACTCTGTAGACCAGACTGGCCTTGAACTCACAAAGATCTGCCTGCTCCTGCCTCCTGAGTGTTGGGATTAAAGGCCCGTGCCACCACCGCCCAGCAAGTTAACACTTTTTTTTAAAAAGATTTTATTTATTATGCATACAGTGTTATGCCTTCATGTTTGCCTGCGTGCCAGAAGAGGGCACCAGATCTCATCATAGATGGTTGTGAGCTGGGAATTGAACTCAGGACCTCTGGGAGAGCAGCCAGTGTGCTCTTAACTTCTGAGCCATCTCTCCAGCCCCAAGCTAAAACTTTTTTAATATTGAGATAATTTTTAAGTTTTGCTCTCTTGTGTGTTGTAGGCTATGTAACAGCCTTCAGCCTCTCTCTATTAGATACTAATACCACCTTCCAAAGTTGTAACTATCAAAATCGTCCCAACATTTCAGGAAAACTATACCCTTACTTTGCTTTTTAGTTCATAAATTGTCTACTAACTCCCTCCTTTTTTTTTTCTCGAGACAAAATTCTTGGTGTGTACCCTCAGGCCTATTTTAAACTTGTTATCCTTCTGTCTCATCCTCTGTAGCTTTGGAGCCAGTCCTGGAACTAGCTCTTTGTAGGACGGGGCTGGCCTCTGCTTTCTGAGTGCTAGGATTAAAGGTGTGTGCCACCAGCGCCTGGCCGATGATGTCTTAATCCTTTAAGCCCAGCACCTTAGAGGCAGAGGCAAGCATATCAAGGCCAGCAAGAGCTAAATATTAAGACCCTATCTGAAAAATTAAGTACAAATTAAACATAGTAATAGCTAAAGAATTCAGTGGGAAAGCTGACTTAATAAGAGCATTGGATATGCTAGTCATCTTTTAGGTTTCAACAGTTGACAAGGTATTTTACTTAAAGTTTGTGAGAAATAAAGTAGCTGAAAAAAAGGGAGGGTTTTGTTTTTTGTTTATTTTGTTTTTGTTTTTGCGGAGTTGATCGTTTGTTTTTGCGGAGTTGGTCGTGGGTTTGAGACAGGATTTCCCTGTTTAGACTTGGCTGTCCTGGAACCCACTCTGTAGACTAGACCGATATTGTATTCTCCATTTACACTGTACTCAAACCTCATTAAAGGTTGATTATGCTGCAGATTTGGAAACCATATCATTAAATTTATATGCTGTTATACTGAAATTCATCGGTTCATCTTGTATGCTGTATCATGCATGATTTTATAGCATCACTATTGGTGATTTGGAAATTGTTGATTCACTAAGTGATGAATGTTGACAGATTAAACAATACAGTTGTTAATATATTAATACAACTCTGTATTTTCCCTTTTAGAAGGGTGTGATGGCACAGACCTTCAGTTACAGCCCTGGGGAGTTTGAGGTCACCATCTGGAGTTCTAGGACAGCTGGGTATACAGTGAGACCCTCTGTCAAAACAACAGAATTTGGAAGCTGAGGGCTGGCAATGTGGATTAGTTAGTGGAGTGTTTGCCTAGTGCATATGAAGCCCTGTATTCCATCCCCAGTACTTTATGAACCAGATCTGGTGGCATAGGCCTATAATCCCAGTGTTTGGGAGGTGAATGCAGGAAGATCAAAGTTGTTTTGGTTTACTTTTCTGTTTCTGTAATGAATACCATGACCAAAAGTGGCTTGGGGGAGACAACAGTTAGTTCATTTCACACTTCCAAGTCACAAACCCATCAATGAGAGAATTTAAGGCAGGAACTGAAACAGAAACCGTATGTAGAAGTGCTGTTACTGGGTGGCTCATTGGCTCCTGCTCCGCTTGCTTTCATATAGCCCAGGACCCTCGCCCCCCACCCCTTCATAAAGATGTGCTAGGTAGAGTGACCTCTTACATCAATCATCAGTTAAGACATTTTCTCACAGACCTGGCCACAGGCCAGTCTAGTCTGGGTAGTTCCTCAGTTGCGGTTCTCTTTCCAGGTGATTATAGGTTGGATCAAGTTGACAATAGAAACTTTAAATAGCACAGAAATAGAAGGTCTTCCTTGGCAACATATTCACTTTGAGACCCAGTCTAGGATATGGGAAACCCTGTCTATATTTAAAATAATAAAAATAAAATAAATAATAGGGGGCCTGGAGAGATGGCTTAGTGGTTAAAAGCACTGGCTGCTCTTCCAGAAGATGTGGGTTCAATTCCCAGCACTCACTCATGACTCAACAACCATCTGTGACTCCAGTTTCAAGGAATGCAGTGCCCTCCTCTGGCCTCCACCTGCACCAGGGACAGAAGTGGTGCATGGACGTAACACACATGCAGGCAAACAAATACTCTGTTAAGAAGGGAGGGGGGCAGGAGACATGGCTCTGTCATTCAGATCACTTGGACTCTGCTCTTCCAGAGGACTAGGGTTCGAATCCCAGCACCCACACGTGGAGGCTAATGACCACCTGTAACTACAATTTTTGGGGATTTGATACTTTCTGTGGGCACTGGGCACACGTGTTACACAGACACATGCAGGCAAAACACCCATATACATAAAAATAAATACAAAATTTAAAAGGA